CTGAGCTGAAGGCAGACGCCCAACCAACTGAGCCACCCAGGCGCCCCCACCGCCCCCACTTCAGATGCCAACTGCAAGTAGTGGGCTCCTAGGTGACTCCCACTTCTGTCTAACTTGGCTACCTTTCCAGGGATTCCCATGGCCGCCTCCTCAGCTTCAATATTTTGCCATAAGGGCTCTCAAAACTCAGGGAAATGCTTTACTTAAATTTACCAGTTCATTACGAAGACTATTATAAAGGATGCAAGTGAACAGCCAGAGGAGGAGCATGTAGGGCAAGGTGTGGGAGGGTCCCGAGCCCTGGAGCATTTGTCCCTGTGGAGTTAGGGTGCACCACTGTCCCAGCACGTGGATGTGCCCACCAACCCGGAAGCTCTCTGCTTCCTGTAGTTCAGGGGTTTTGGAGAGATTTCATCACATTGGCATGACTGATCACTAATTTGATCTCCAGCCCCCTTTCCCCCAAACTGGTGGGGGTGGGGGTGTGAAAGTTCCAAGCTAATCATGGCTTGCTTATTCTAGTGACCAGCTCCCAACCAGGAGCCATCTGGGAGCCTGCCTAGAGTTGCTTCCTTACAACAAAAGACAAAAGATGTTTCTCTCACCCAGGAAATTCCAAGGGATTTAGCAGCTCTGTGCTAGGAATTGGAGATGAAGACCAACTATGTATTTCTTATTATATCAGAATATCACCCCGCACAAGAGAGTGCAATGCAGCTCTGAAAGGGATACTAGATGGGGCCATCTCCAGGATATTTTATTAATTGAAAAAAAGCAAGATGTGGATGGGATATGCTTCTTTTTATCTAAGAAAGGGGAGAGAAGTGTATTTGAATCCTTACTTGTATTTAAAAAACCTACAGTGGAATGATAAGCCAAAAACAGACAAAATGGTCATTTTCAGGAGGAGACAGGGAGGAACAGGCAGGAATGGAACCAGACTTTACTGAGCACCTTGTTTTCCGGATTTGCCTTTGGAGCCTTATAACTATTTACTATGGACATAAAACAAAATTAAATGGAAATTCTGCAAAAGGAAAGGAAATTCATAGAGATGGGTTTGAGCCCGGGGTTGGGGGCAACTGGAGTCTCTCCTGCTTTTGCCCCTGTTTGACTACCCCTTCTCACAGCCACAGAGACACCTGTCCAGGCCACCAGAAGGCAGAGATGGGGTCAGATCTTGAAACTTCTGGGGCTCCAGGAGGGCCCTAGCGGTGGTGACGGGGGCTGTGGTTTTAGTATTTTGGGGGCGTTTGATCAGTGGCTCTCATCAAGATTCCCACAGCCGCCTTCTGCTGCATCCCGAAAGTGGGTCAATTTCCAAGCGTATCATTCATAGTGACCACAACAGCGGCTTACAGCCTCTAGCTCAGTCCCACCAGCACTGGCCTGGGACTGCTAACAGTCCTAATGTCCCATCTGATAGGGGTTCAGTTTCCTGGCAGTGAGTTTTCCTGCATGTGACCATTTTTCCTTCTCTCGGCAACCCTGGACCTGGGAATGAGTGTCCTGGTGAGAAACCCAGGCTGGATGAGAATGCCTCCCATGGCTCCAGAAAAGCTGCCAGGTGGCAGGGTCCCACCTCTGACTGTGGCGGACCAGGCTGATGACTTCAGGCTGTGGGATCCTGCATAGGGCTTTTTCTCCCCGCTTTGGTATTTGAGGTGTCCTTTCCCATAGAGGCTGAGGCATTGTTTGCGTCTCAGACCCACATGAAACTGAATCCCAGGTGTCCTACTTTCCAGCAATGGGCTCTTCATCAAACGTTACATTTTTCTCATCTAGCACAATAAAAATACCTTCTGGAAAGGTTGTCGGAGGCATAAATGAAATGTCCCCCGTAAAGAGCTTACTAGAGACTGTTGTTATTAGCACGTATCATTACAAAAGACGCAGCACCCTGGAAGTTCTGGGTTCTTCTACCTATCGCAAAGATGGATTGACTTTATGCTCAAAAGCTCAAGTCTTCCTGGGCCTGGTTATCAAAGCCTCCTCCTTTCCCTCCCGTGTCTGACCCTGACTAGGACGAGCCCGGGGTGCTGCCTCATCTCCCCCTGCTTCTGGGACCCCTGCTGCTGCTGCTGCTGCTGTCTCAGCGGCTGGCTCAGCTTAGGAGAGACTCCGCTCTGCTAACTGTTAAGTCTGGATCGATCCCCATCCCCATCTCAGGGCCATTTTGAGGATTAACTAATCCATCACGTGGAGACCTTTGGAAAGGGCCAATATGACTGAGGCTATTGTCAGGCAGACTGGAAACTGGGTTCACTGATTTCCCTGGCTTCCAAGACGCTCCGGCTGAGCCCTGCAGCCCAACAAACTCTCCTCTGGGCAAAATCTCCGCGTGCGCAGGTGGCACTGAGCTCACCGGCCGTCTGTCTGCCCACCTGCTGCTGAACCTTTTTGATCTACCTCTTTGTTTCTTTAAGGGACAGTGAGGGTAAGAAGATAAAGGGATCAGGATTCTAGACACCAAAGGGCTTTTGTTTGTGTTTCTAATAGAACTGAATACATTCCGTTTTCCCTCTTGGCATCAGCCTATTGACTCAAGACAAAGTTCTGAGATTATACCTTTCTGACTTTATGTTTTGTACATCTCAAAGGTCCCCGGAAGCCTACAAGGGGTGTTTTTTATCCTCTGAGGTGTGATCGCCACAATACAAAAATGAATACAGGAATTCATTGCTGAGTATTTATTGAGTGCCTAGTGTATGTTCAACAGTATACAAGCAGCTTAGAAGATCCCTGAGGGAAGAAAAAGAAGTTCCTGTGTGTTTACACCCACTGCATACAAGGCTCTGTGAGGCACTTTCATTGCATCATCTCATTTAATTCTGACAGCTCCAGAAAATAGGTACTGCCGTCCCATTTCACGGATGAGGAAAGAGATTCAAAGTTCCGTGACTTGTCAAGATCATTCACAGTAGAAGCAACCAGAGTTCCTGCCAGTGCTTCTGACTGAACTCTCCAGGTCCTTTCCACTAGAACACAGTGGGGAGCAGAAAAGGTCACACATGGGGCACATGGTAGCAGATTATCAATCCTGGACTGCCTGGTTCAGAGCCAGTGGGGACGAGGGACTGACGGCCTGATGGTCCGGAGGACTTCCTGCAGGAGATAGCCCAGGTGTGACTCAGAGCAAAGGTGGGGGCGAGATGTGCTACCTAATGTTGGCCCTGGGCGGCAATGAACTTGAGCACAGACTGTGTTGAGAGAGCAGGCCCTGAGGTCAGCTGGGTGGGACCTGAGGCTGAGGGGTAGGAAGACTGGCAGAGCTGTCTGGACCAGATAAAGTGGCAACAAGGAGCTCGCAGGAGCCGGAGGGGGAGGGAAGCAAAAGCAAAGCTCGGAGAGGATGATTCTGCAGTGCTGGCTGGAAGCAGTGGAACTGGGGGGCCTGGAGATGGTAGGGGCCAGGCAGGTACCTCAGGAGGGGTCCACCCAAGGGCAGGCCTGTCCTCTTGGACCGAGGGAATGGGGTGGCAGGGGAAGGAGAGATGGTCTCTGCAGGCTTTGGTAGAGGATGCCTTTGAGGGACAAAGGACAGGGAGGAACATATTCCATTACAGGAAGCTTTGGAACTCCCATCAGGTCAATCATGCCTCTGTTCACTGCTGTTCAAGGTCTTCCTGCGGCCAGTACAATCATCGGCCACAAACACACCTCACACTCTGGCCTGAATCTACTTTTTTGGGCTCTTCCCCCACTATCCTCCTAGGTAAGTCCTCCCCTTGCCTCCTACTAATCCCAGCCTCTAAAGGGGCCCACCTCCGGAACCCCACCCCAAGCTGGCCTCGGCAAAGCCCACCAGCCTGGCCAACCAACCCTCTTAGCTATCAGGGCTCTGTCAATCACAGTGTTCCAATCACCTTGGATAGCTCTTCCCCCACAGTCTTGAATAATTCATGTTTCATTGTTATTTAGCTTTTGCTGTTGGGGGTCTCCCTAACATCACCTCCCTGGCCTTGAGGGCTCAGTGTTCACAACCCGGGATGTCATTTTGCCTTTCAGTCTTTGTTCCCTCATCTGCAAAATGGGGCCAATAATGTCTCGCAGCATCTGGCACAGAAGCCCATCCATGACTGTGCCAGTCCTTTCCTCCAGCGTGGGGTGGTCCCAGGGGCGGAGGGAAGGTGGGGGAACCAGGACAGAAGGGGAGGACTCCAGCCCGGGGGAGGATCCCTTCTTCATCCGGCTGGATCTCTGCATTTCTAAGGGACCACTGGCATCACGCTAAGATCATCTAGAAAGGGCACGCAGAAGCCGTCTTTAAAAAGCCATCACAGATTTCTCTAGCAAAGGAAGGAATCTGGACTTACAAATTCAGGCGGACCCCAACCCCGGCCCCAGCAGCTAATGCCCCCTCCCATGGCTGAACCACCGCAGCACGTGCTGCGCGGTCCTTGATGTTTACAAAGTGCGTTTCGCTGACCTCCATCTCCTTGAAAACCCTTCACGACCCCGCAGTTTCCCTGTCATCACCTCCGTTTGGCAGATGAGATCACCAGGACTCTGGGAGGCGACGTGCCTTCCCCGAAGTGGCCCAACGTGTGGGCAGTCAGGGTCCCCGGGCTGCACCCTCCGGCGGGGTCTGCCCGCCGCGGGACTGGGGGTGCGAAGGGCTGAAAGGCGGGCGCTGGCCCCAGGGTACCGCGGGCCGGGCTCGGGAGCCTGGGGGCGCGCGTGGGGGATGAGGGATGGATGCTCTCGGCCGCAGCCGGGGCAGGGCGTGCAGCCCCCAGACATCTCGCCGCCTCTCGGGAGGTACCCCAGGCGCGGCCCCGCGGGCGCGCGCTCCGGGCTCCGCCGGCGATTCGAGGCGCGCGCCCCGCCCCCGCCCTCCCGCGCGCGCGCGCGCGCCCCACTCCGCCTCTCCCGCGCGCGCGCGCGCCCCTCCCGCCGCCACCCCGCCCTCCCGCTCTCGCGCGCGCCCCTCCCGCCGCCACCCCGCCCCCGCCGGTACCCTCGCCGGACCCGAGAGAGCGCGCCGCCGCCATCTTAGTTGCTGCCGCCGCCTCCAGCCAAGCGCTTCCTCGGCGGAGGGGAGGGCGCCCGCGGCCCGAGCGCGCGGCCCAGCGTCGCGGCGGCGGCTCGTGGGACCCCGGACTCGCCGCGGCGCGAAGCAGCCGGCCCCGGGCCGCGAGAGCCCTGCTCGGCGCCCCGCGCGCGTGCCTGCCGCTCCCGCCTCGGGCCGGCCGCGGCGCCGGGAGCCGGAGCGATGCTGCGCCGCGCTGCGCCCGCGCTGGCCCCGGCCGCCTGGCTGCTGCTGGCCGGGCTGCTGAGCGGCGGCGGGGTCTGGGCCTCGCGAGGTAAGCGGCGGGCTGGGGCGGGCCCGGGGGGAGTCGGGGCGGGCGCCTGGGGCCGGCGAAGCCGGGCTGCGTCCCCGGGCGGGGCGCCGGACCCCCGGGTGGCGGCTGCGCGGGTCTGGGGGGACGTGCAGACGGGCGCAAGGGTAGGTCCCCGTCCGCCGCAGCGCCTGCAGGCGGGGGTGCACCCCGGTGAGAGGCCGTGTACGTGTGTTGTGTGCTCGCTCGTGCATCAGGCTGGGGGTGCACGCAGTTTTTGGTGTGTGCTTACATAAGAGCCCACTCCTCCGCATCCCTGCCAGGGTCCCGGCGCTCTGCCGCTGCGCCGCGGACGCCGCATCCTCGCCCCTTTCCGCCTCCCCCCGGGGTCCTTTAAATCTTGTCTGTTTTCAGACGGGCAGCCGCTGAAACTTCTCGCTCCCCTCCCACGTTTCATCCGAAGGTGAAATCGCGAGGAGGTTTACCGTCGCGGTCTCACCCGGCGTTCGGAATCTGCCTCTCCGCACCCCCGACACCTTGGTGCAGTTTTTCTGACGGTGATTTACATCGCTCGGGGGCTTTCAGATCCTCAGCAGAAACCTCCCTGATTCCTCAGGGCCGACAGTATTGTACTGTTACTTGGGAAAAACAAAACAAAACAAAACCCAAAAAACATTTCTTAGTGAATTGATTGTTTTGTTGTTGTCTTAACCTTCATCCACTTAACCTTTTAAACAGTGCACGCTCTCTGATACTGGCCGATCTTGCCAGCGAAAAGCTTACGCATTGCAGATGCATGCTTCGGAGTGGATCTTGGAATCGTAAACATTTTCCTTGGCCTTGGAGCAAAGTAATCTAGGTGTAGTCTGGAGAGGACTTGGATCTATTCTTCTGATTTTTAATTTTTCATCAAAAGCCTGGGAGGGGGAGACCTGACGAAAGTCTAAATGAAACAGTCCTATTTCGTATTAGCAGGCTTTTAAAAAAAATCCTCATTTTTCTCTTCCTTGGCATGACAGACGGAGAGAAGTATGGTGTTCAAAAATTAAAGGGCAGAAGAGGCAAATGCATCTTTTGTTCTGTGTTCCTTCCTTCACATGGGGGATGATGAACTTGGACTACTTCATCTCTAACATTCTGTGGACTGTCATAGTTAAGTCTCAGTCACTAAGTATCAAAGCGCTCTCACTTTGATTTTTAAGTTACATCAAGCTGAGTTTGAAATGTTCTTTCCAGATGTGGGAACGGAGGTCTGAAAGTCTGATCTGTCCAAGAGAAAATGTCAAAGTTCTGCTTTTCTTGGGGAAAACCCACACATTTCAAAAATATGTGCTTGGATTGAGTATTTTTGGGAACAGTTCAAATATATTTCGTTTAGTCAGTGATAACATTTCTTGTTAAGATCCATATTTTCTGTTTGTCCATTCACCTCCATTTGCTATTCATTATTGAATTACTTGGGTTATTCAACAGATACAAATTTTATTTATCAGATATCTTCATTGTGGTGGACTAACAAATTTTTTTTTTTTAAAGATTTTATTTATTTGACAGAGATCACAAGTAGGCAGAGAGGCTGGCAGAGAGAGAGAGGAAGGGAAGCAGGCTCCCCGCTGAGCAGAGAGCCCGGTGGGGTGCGGGGCTGGATCCCAGGACCCTGGGATCATGACCTGAGCCGAAGGTGGAGGCTTTAACCCACTGAGCCACCTAGGCGCCCCTGGACTAACAAATCTTATGTGAAAGATAATGTTGAGTACTGAGTGCTTTGTCATTGGCTGACTTTCTAAGCTTTTCTTGGTGCATTTATAGTATTTAAGGATAACTAGTCTTCAAAATAAAAACACATTTTAAACATCAGTTATTCTGTTGCTTTATTTTCTTTTCCCCAGCCTGCAAGGTAGAAAATGTCTTGTGAATATTACAAGAAATGCCAATAAAATGGTTTCATTTTGAGGGGTTGCAAGTGGATTTTATATGTAAATATGCAGTTTGCAGAGACACTTTCTGTGGGCTCATTTTAAAGATTTTATTTATTTATTTGACAGACAGAGATCACAAGTAGGCAGGGAGGCAGGCAGAGAGAGAGGAAGGGAAGCAGGCTCCCCTCAAAGCAGAGAGCCCAACGTGGGGCTCAATCCCAGGACTCTGGGATCACGACCTGAGCCGAAGGCAGAGGCTTTAACCCACTGAGCCACCCAGGTGCCCCTGTGGGCTCATTTTAGAAGGTGATCATTTCAATAGTCTGACTTTTTTTTTTGTTTGTTTTTCTCTAAGACAGTATGATATGAACAGCTGGCCATACTCTAGCTATCTCTAGTAATTATTAGTGGGATAAATACCACATATAAATTGCTGGAGAGGATGTTAGGTTTTGTAATGTGAATTGCATTTTGACTGTTAATTAGTTGTTTAATAGAAAACCGAATTTCACTCTAATCTGTAGCTGCAGTTCTTAAAAAACATCAAGTAAATCAAAATATTGGGCATATCCTTGGCATGCCCTAGGCTGCCTGCTTTCTTTCCAGTGAGTCAGTGATCAGGAATTAGTAAATTGAAATGGAGCATATAGAAAGCTTATGAATATATATATATTTTAATGCAAGCATGGACTGCACTTCAAAGCCAGCGAAATAATTTTAATTGTTATTTTCCTGTTTGTTTGGCCACAGACTTCTCCACGAGGCCTCTCCTCACCTTCCTCTGTGCAATTTCATCTCTCTCTGAGCCCCTGAATCCTCCCTTCCCTGCCTCGCTTTTTCTCTTCCCATAGCACTTAAGCCCATTCAAACAGCCTTATTTTGTTGATTGTCTCCCCTCACTAGGACATAGGCCCCAAGACAGAAAGGTGTTTGGTGTGTTTTGTTCGCATGTGAATATTATCACCCCCACACAGTTCGAGTAGATTCTCAGTACTTGTTGAGTGATTGAATGGATGGACAGCTCTATCAGTTTTGACAGCATAGTATTTTTATGTCCTAATTCTCTTCTGACAGATAAATGTTGTATACTGAAAAAGGCATTACAAACTATAAAACAAATCTAAATTCTGCATCACGATATAGAAATTCATTAGTAGATAATTTTCCAAGGATCTGTTCTGTTGATTGCAGTGTTGGCGATATTAGACCATAAAAATCTGTAGCAGCTTTTTTTTTTTTTTTTAAGATTTTTTTTTTTTATTTATTTATTTGACAGAGAGATCACAAGTAGACAGAGAGGCAGGCAGAGAGAGAGAGGAGGAAGCAAGCTCCCTGCTGAGCAGAGAGCCCGATGCGGGACTCGATCCCAGGACTCTGAGATCATGACCTGAGCCAAAGGCAGCGGCTTAACCCACTGAGCCACCCAGGCGCCCTGTGTAGCAGCTTTTGAAGGATGTACTTTGTGGCCACCAATCTGAGTCTAATTTTTAAAGATACTGTAATTCTCCGCTTTTTTGGAAAGTGGTTTCTTAATTTGTTACCTTATTTTTCAGAAGTAACTTTGAGGAAAAGTCCTTTGAATACAGATGTCAATATTATACTTAACCTAACAGTTGTATTGGTGGGAGTAAATGTCATTTATTTCACATAGGAGACTTATAACTACTAAAGAAATAAAGTATATTTTTTAAAAATTTATTTTTTAATTAAATTACTAGTATTCTTTTTTACATTTTATTTTATTTGACAAAGAGTATGAGCCGGGGAGGGGGCAGAGGGAAAGAGAGAGGGAGAAGCAGGCTCCCTGTTAAGCAGGGAGCCTGCTGCGGGACCTGAACTCAGGACTTGGGGATCATGACCTGAGCTGAAGGCAGACATTTAACTGACTGAGCCACTGAGGCACCCCAGAAATGATAAAATATTAATAATTCTGAATGTATTCCAATTTAAGAGCTCTAACTCAGTTAACTGGAACCTTCAGTTACCTAGAGTTCATCTTCTGGCTGCAGACCCCTTTTATGAGGAAAAGCATAAAATCAAGCAGTTTCATAGGAATTTTTTTGCAAAAGGAAGTTTTAGTAGTTCATATCATACATTATCTGTGTTGGTACTATTTGATTTTTAAACCAAAAAAAAAAAAAGCAATTAATATTTCAGTTGTAGATACGAAGATGTGACCCATAAATGAAATATAAAATTTTTACATTCAAGTTAGAAAATGCTGTAATTCCATGATACTGGTTTCAGGACTTGGCTCCAAGTTTATGAAACCATCTCTTAATGTTTAATATGAGGATGTTAAAGTTCTAAGACTTTTTAAAAAGGATTGAATTATTTTTTATTTATTTTTTTAAAGATTCCATTTAGGGGCGCCTGGGTAGCTTAGTCATTAAGTGTCTGCCTTCAACTCAGGTCATGATCCCAGCGTCTTGGGATCAAGTCACATATGGGGCTACCTGCTCTGCGGGGAGCCTGCTTCTCCCTCTCCAGCTCACCTGTACTGTGTTCCCTCTTTCACTGTGTCTCTCTATCATAAATTTAAAAAATATTTAAAAAAATAAAGATTCCATTTATTATTTTAACAGAGAGAAGGAGAGCACAAGTAGGAAAACAGCAGGCAAAGGGAGAGGGAGAAGCAGGCTCCTTGCTGAGCAGGGAGGCCCACAAAGGGCTCCATCCCAGGACCCTGGGATCATGACCTGAGGCAAAAGCAGGTGCTTAATGGACTGAGCCACCCCAGTGCCCCAGAATTGAGTTATTTTTATTATTGCTTCCTCAGGCAGGAAAATTATAATTTTGGAGGCAAGCATAAAGTTTTCATTTATAAGAGTTGAAACAAAATAGGAGTTCTGATTATCCTGAAAAATCACCAAGAGTATATTTCTTACTCTGGTTAATTGTGGTTTAGGATCATTATGCTATTAAAAAAATGTATCTTGCTTTTTCTGTGGTCTTGATATGGTAAAAGCAGAAGTATTTGAAGATACGTTGTGTCTTCTATTAGTATAATTTAAGATAATTGATTTGTTATAAAATACAAAATATAAAATACAAAATTGGTAAAGCTTCAGAAATAGGGATTCAAGATTGGGGGAAATGACTTAT